TGTATTTTGAAAAGATAATTTATATGTTTTATAAAATACATAAATTATAATTTACATATCTGATTTTAATACAGGCAGGTGAAATCTTTTTCTTCTCAGAAAAAAATATGGCCAACATTTTACCAAGGGAAATATTAGTGATGTTGCAAAACTTATCATACTCACTCTTTTGTCAGCCAGCGATACATCCTTAAGTTGTTTGCAAATAGTAATTCAACCACTATCAGCTGAAAATGGCAGGTGGATGAGGATTTTCATGTGAGCTTTTCTTCATTTTTGCTCATGCATCCTTGCACACACTCACGTTCTCTGAACATGTAGAAATCTTCCTGATATTGTTGTCTCTAACAAATTCTACTGAATTTTTCAGGATATGCGTTTTACCATCACAGGTCTAGGAAATATTTTCTTGTATATTTTAATATTTGAAAGGGGGAAAAAATTCTAATGATAGTGGGATACTGGAAACTCTCTCTTTTGAGAGAGTTGGTATTTCAATATCTCAGGACAGGGACAGAGGTATGAATAATATCAGCCTTGAATTTTTATTCTTAGTTTCTCTACTGACAAATAAATGAATAAACAAAAGGTCCTTGGTGATTTATGCTCAATTGTTACTAATGAATCTTTCCAGTAATTTTATTTGGCAAAAGTAAAACAATAAATAAAAGCTCCTTTGGCTCCAGTGTCCTTGGAGATTGGAGAACAACAAACAGGTTAATTAGTTCATTTTCTTATTTTCCTAAACATCTTTATTTTTAAAAAAGTACATACAATAAACTGCATGAAATTAAAATGGACAGTTTGTTAGGTTTCTGCACCCCTCTATTTCCCAGGCAACCACTGATAAATTAGTTATCTGTCACTACAGATTAGGTTTTTTTTTTTTTTTTGTAGAATTTTATGTAAATACAAGAATACAGAATTGTATTTTTTGTCTTTCATCTTTCACTGAGCATTAATTCATGATTTATCCCTGTTGTTATTTGAGTCAATAGTTCTTTCTTTTTTAATGCTGAGTACTATTTGAATATTCGTGGACTTATGACATGTTCCCAGTTTGTGGGTATTATAAATAAATCTGCTGTAAACAGTCGTGTGCAAGATTTATATAAAAATAAGCTTTCATTTCTCTTAGTTAAATACCTGGGAGTGAAGTGGAGTAGATGATTTATAGGGTAGGTATATGTTTAACATCTAAAGATACTGCCAAACTGTCTTCCAACATGCCTTTAGCATTTTACATTCCCATTATCAGTGTATGAGAGTTCTGGTTGCTCCACATTAACACCAATCCTTAGCATGCTCTATCTTTAATTTTGGCCATTCTAGTAGGTTCATAATCAGTGGTATCTCACTGTTGGTTTAATTTGCAATTCCATAATTACGTATGATGTTGTGCATTTTTCATATGCTTATTTGACATCTGTATATCTTCTTTGGCATGGTGTCTGTGTACATCCTTTGTCCATTTTTCAATTAGGTTGTTTGATTTCTTATTGTTGAGTTGTAAGAGTTCTTCATGGATTCTGGATACGTCACCTATCAGATACATAGTTTTAAAAATATTTTCTTGCATTGTGTGTCTTTCCACTGTGTTCGAATAGTGTCCTTCACTTCTTCCTTTGCAACAACATGGATGGACTTAGAGAAAATTATATGAAGTGAAACAAGTCAGGCACAGA